TTAGAAACCAATTATCTATTGGTTTAGAATTCCATAAAAACTCATCACCGACAATAGTAAACATTTCAGCAATGGTCCTTCTAAGACTAGACTAGAACAATAAAAGGACCTTTGAACAAAATATCTCCATAGCATCATTTGGGCATACCAAACTACACTTGGGTCAACCACAAGATAAATGTCCTTCAACCTAGCTTTTGGAGACTAAAGAAGTTATACCTGTGGAATTTGAGATACTAAGGATTAGAGGTTTAAAGCCGATTTAGACTTGGTGGAAGAACTCCGAGAATAAGCTTAGGCCAAGATGGCTACCTACCAATAAAGGATGGAAAAGTAATACAACAACAAGGTTCAGGGAAGGAAATTCAAAGGAAACCTTGTACACTGAAAAGTCAAGCAATCGGAAAACAAATTCGCACCAAACTACAAGAGCTCCTATCGAGTCACAAAGGTGATCAACCTAGGCATTTATTAGTTAGAGATTTTGGAGGGAAAAGATGTCCCTTGCAGTTAGAACTCTTCTAGCTTTGAATGTATTAACAATAGAATTTACTTAGGTTATTTAATTAATAAAATTTGGTTTTCATTCCATCTTGGTTCTTCCTCTTAAGGCAAGATTGGGGAAATGCAATGTCCTATCTTATGCCCTAATTAGAGTTAGGTTCAATAGGGAATAGTGGGTGAATCGATCTCAATTGAAGGTCAACCAACCTTGACTCTATCAATCCACTAGTCAAACCGACCTCGGAGGGATAGTCATTCGTAAGGACCCAACTCGGTCACGAGGATAAGTGGTTCAATAGAGGAGCCAAATGGCTGAACCTCAAAGAAAATGTGATACTCGAACTTCCGCCTTTGGCAAATTGACCTTTCACCTCTACCACCTTCTCTTCAGCCTGCCGAGCCCCTGTCCTCAATGGCTTTAACCTTCACCTCTAACTCTTCCTATGCCACCAGGAGCTTTGCCCAAAGTCTTTTCTACTCAACGTATGTTGAGGGTCCACTCCCTCAACATTGTGGTATGCTGGTGAGTAGGGGTGATCATGGGTCGGGCTAGGCTGGGCTTTGCACTTATGATAAGGAATATAGCTTAGGCTCAAGTTCGACCCAATCCGGGGTTTCGAGTCTGAAAATAAGCCCTAGTGCAGATATACATTGGCCCGGGCTGGGTTGGGCCAGATTTTGAGCCAATGTCATTCATATGTAAAACATTACATATCTATAACATTTTATATTAAATGACATAACATGCATATAAACATATTTTATACATTATATAATATAAAATGTTACATATAGTATAAATTATACATGTAATATTATAATATTTATATATAAAATATAATATAATTTAAAATAACATATATACAAATGTATACACTATACACAAAATGTGTATGTTTAAATATATGCGGGGTGGCCCAAGCCTGGGCCAGGCTTGAAGTATTAAGCCCAAGCTCGGCCCTAAAATTTGCAGGCCTGATGTGGGCCCGAGCCCAGATTGGGCCTGAACACAAAACCCAGGCCCAAGCCCGGAATTTTCTGGGCTGGGCTTGTGCAGACCGAGCCGAAATGATCACCCCTACTGGTGAACATGTTGGTAATTCTCTTGTAGAGGGCATTGATGGCAAAGACCACTATAGGAGAAAAATAACTTAGCGTGGTGTAGCAAAGGAATAGTACTCAAGTTTTTAAATTTTGTAACGTATTGACATTCCAATGAGGGTCCACTATGTGCATGGAATACTACGAAACCGATTTATATTGGACTAATATGCCCTATTTCAGGTCGTTCCAGGTTTGTATCGGCAAGTACAAGCATGATATGAACTTTTTCTTTTTGAAAATAAATCAAAATGTACTACACACAACGGAGGGTAGTACGTCCCCAAAATTCAACAAAACAAATAAGAAGAAGAGAAGGGGGAAGAGATAAGATGCTAAAATCTAGAGAAGAAGAAGAAGAAAGAGCCTAATCAGCCAATTAGCCACCTGATTTGCTTCTCTATAGACATGTTAATAGTGAAGATCTCCTCCAAACAGATCACTCTTCCGTAAGCAGCTTGAGATACTACCTTCCAAACTCCAAGGAACCTCCACCTTTCTTTTGAGGCAAGAGATGACAAGAGATGAATCTCCTTCTATGATGATAGGAAACTCCCTGAAATTTGAAGCTTGGACATGGGCTTCCCATGCAATCCAACCTTTAGCCTGGTCAATGGAACAAATACCAAGTTTATATGCTTTGACCGCTAGCACCTTACTAAGATGGTTCTGAACTATACAGGCACTGAACATTTTCCTTCACTACTGTGAGAGGCATCAAAGTTTATTTTGATAAAACCATATTTTGAAGCAATCCAATTGATTTGCTTCCACCACTTGTAAGATGTGGTAGAGGTACTGAATTTATTCCCATCAAGAATTTCCGTGAACATATTTAGAACTCTATCTAATAGTATTAGAATGGGAGTAATACCATCATTAAAAGTTTTAGAGTTCCTATTTTTCCAGACCACCCATAAAACAAAGGCTACTTTTTCTTTAACTAAAACAATTTTACTTTCTTCTTTAGTGCACATTCTTATCCACTAGTCACTTAGATTTTCATTTTCCCTTGATCCTTCCAAGGGAGCGCTTAAAGTCAACCAAACTTGCCTTTACTAGGCAATCTATTACTAAACAGAAAAAAATTGAAATACTTTGATCTTTGGAGGGCATTTTAAGTTCCAGATGCTATTCAACCAATTAAAGTTGCTAGGAGAATTTGATACAAAGGAACATTTGAGTAAATAAGTTGATTTGATAGAAAAGGTCCCCTTAGGATTGCACCCTCAAACCCTTTTATCGTCCACGTTATTTGGGGCAATATGAATAGTCTTAATATTTTGCCAAACATTTTTAGAGACTCCACTTTTAATTTTGTCTTCCTTTTAGCAAATGCTCTCAAAATCAATCATTTCTGATACTTTGATATTAATATTTGTGATATTTTTAGGTTCGAAGTTTCAATTAAAGGTTTATCATATACCCAATTATCCAGTCAGAAATTTATAGAGCTTCCATCACCCACTTGCCTTTATTAGGTTTATCATGATATGAACTAATACTGTGTATCAGCCAATGCATTCAGATTTTTAATATTATTTAATGTTATTCCTTTTCTCTCTACTAACTCATATAATCATTCCCTATAACCACTATAACTACTACTCTCTCTAATAACTCTAATAAGCCTTACTATAGTTGTTTGTTATGCACATATGCATTTTTATTCATATGTATTTTTTTTATTCTTAAGGGGTTGTTTTTGCACTAAATACTAAAATTGATTGTTAAAATTTATATACTAATAAATATAACATGTTTATGTTGATTTATGAAAATTAAGACATAAATATAAACTTTAGTTCCTCCATCATTCTTTAATGATTGACAATTGTGTCACGATATCTCACAATGTATGTTAACCATTAAAGTATGGTTTTTTATGTTTAAATAATTCATTTATAATTATATAAAACTTATATATGCACATCTTGATTTCTTGTTTGCATCAATGCGTATGTAAAACATATTCCGATATCTCTTAAAATTGCTTTATTGATACATCTTATTTTTCCGATATTTTAAACTTTGATAATAAGTAAGCGCAGAGCCAAGTTAAAGGGTGGGGAGGTCCTTATTGCCCCCCTCCCCCCCCAAATTTTTGTAAAATCTAATAGAACTACTATGTTAGTGGGGCCTATGGGTGGAGCCACATGAAGTTTCCAGGCCCCCGAAATTTACGATTTGTAATATGTAGGAGACAGGTAATTGATGGTTGTTTTTGTATTTTTTTTTTTTGGAAAATCGTAGTTTTCTCTTGTTTAAAACTACCTTTCTGATATTAAATAATAAAATCATAAAATAAACAGACTTTCCCAAAATTAAAAAGAACGTCTTTCTTTTTATATATATATATATATAAAAAAAAAAAAACTTTTGTAATAGATCCAAACCCTCATGCCCTCTTTCTCCATTTTCCCCTCCAAATTCTGGCTCTAGTCCCTATCTCATCTCACTGTTCTTGTCAAAAAGACATCCCATGGAAAAAGAATACACATATAAAGTAGTCTAGTGTTTTCCCCCGGCCCCCGCCCGTCTGAATATAGAGGGTTTAATATAAAGTAATTAACTTTTTCATCAACCTTAGTAAAAAAATAAATAAATAATTACATGACTTGGCCCTTGAGAGAAAATCTTGGCTCAATAAAAAGAAAAGAATGCCAACACCCCCATGACCTTGGGATAAGAGTGGCTAAGGACTTTAGATGGATGAGACATGACGTTGAAGCGGTCAATGGGGCATGAACACTCGTCGAGTCAATATCTCATCCACGAGCCGTTCCCAGCGCTATTGCCCCGCCGTATATTGGAAATATCTCCTGATGATATCATCGGGAATGATCTCAATAAACGGCGGAGATATACTGTAGGACGTTGTGGGGGGCTGATTCGGTCTTAACTATGACCGACCACTCGGGAGTAAAGACCCGCCGATCATGGACCATGGGCATTGGGGCATCATCTAGTGTTCCTCCCATCACGCTATTCTCCTAGGCCACAAGGACCCAATCATCATTGAATGAGCGTTGACTTATATAATGTTCAACGAATAGGGGTTTTAGTGGTACGGGGTGTTAGGGTTTTTTATTTGTGAAGCCATTTGGCCTAAAAAAACCAAAAGGAAGACAATGCAAACAAATTAGGTCTTAGGTCCTGTTTGAGCATATAGAACTTTTTCAGTTTTTTGAGCATTTGAGAACTGTTATAGATGGATGGTATATTAGCAGTTTAGAACCAAGTGCAAAATTTGACTTGCATTAACAGATGGAAATCCAAAAATTGATCCAGATTGGCAAATAAATTACAGTCGTGAGTGATGAACATATTTGCTTCCAGTTGATTCCTGATAATGAGGAAGAACTTATTCTCTCTATTTGTTGTTTTCAAACATTTCATTGTTCCTTGCCAAGTACAACAGTGGCACTGACAGATTCTTTTAGATGCCGGAAACGAGAATGGTGCTTGAGATTTCCAGCTTCCTCAGGGAGTAATGCCCAAGACTTGTGCCGTAGTAATATGGTGAGAAACTCTGCATCCAACAGATAATCGGCATTTAGTCTCTGTAAGCCTTCAATACGGCACATTAAGGATTGAGTTTAGTATGAATAACTTGAAAAGAAAACCTTAATTTTGAAAACTTACTTCTGGTATATATTCACTATTCGTTGTACATTGGAAGACTCTGCTTAAGCTCCAGATTTCAAAATCGAGCTTGTTTTCCATTAACTTATACATGGAAGAAGATCACTATGAGGTCTTTTACCGGGAAAAAAAATGAAAATCAAAATGAGGTGGGATATCAACACATGTATGAAGGTTAAAAGAAGGAAAATGAATCCAAACACTTGAGGGTGCATTCTCCAATTTGAATTGCTTTTTCTTGTTGCAAGTTGTAAAAACAAATCAAAACATGTTCTTGGTTGCATATCTGTTTTTTTTATTCTTTTCAGAACTGGTTCCAATTCTATATGGTTTTAAAACCATTATTTTGATGGTGGAGGGGGTGATGTTGCAACCTATATACAAATGCAAAATCATTTATGTTGTACAGCAAGAACTGCTAGGAATTAATAAATAACTCTACTATATATAATAGAAAACTAAGGAGTGTTTGCCAGCATGTTTGATTTTGTTTTTGTATTGAAAAACAACACCAATTATGTTGCCTAACACCCCTTGAGTTGTGAAGGAACCTTTTCACAAAGTCTATTATACTAGATTGATTACTGTAAAGAATTGTGTGTCAACTGACTAACTCATAATATGGATAAGCCTAGCAACAAGAGGAAAGGTCCTCTGATATTCAAATCAAAAGCATAACTAACTCAAAATATGGATAAGCTAAGAAATAAGAATAAAATGTCCTGATACTAAAATCAAAAGCATTAAGTTACTCAAACTTCTTTTTGTTAATATTTTATTTAATAGGAACAAATTTTGTTGCATGAACAAATGAATTTTATTAACTTTTGAAGATGATGGTGTGCAATCCGGCCGATCTTAGCTGTCAACGACCTTGCCTTTGAACTGAGAAGCAGGGAACCTGAAACGGAGAAGATGAGGAAGCTCCGGGGGGAACCCGATGTAAAGGCTCCGAAGCTCAAGTTAGAATCCTTCAAAGACAAGA